TGGCAAGTTGTTTCGGGTTGTCCAGTGATTAAACCTCACTTTGAATTATAGATATTTACATAATTGTGATTTAATTTCTCAGTTGTGATTAGAAGAGAAAACAGTTAACTACACATTAAATGAATGCTCTTCCTCGCTTTACACATGAACATTATCCTCGATTCTTCCCACCACATATATAAGTCTTTCCAACAAACTTGATCTACAAAAATTTGGATGCATGATATGTTTTGGACAGAACCATGCATGAATAAAATGCAAGTGAACAAGAAGTACTATTCCCATTGGTGATGCGGTTTTTATAGAAATTTCGAAATGAAGTATTGTTTAATTAGATTCACCATATATCATATAAACCACGTTATCAAAGAGTTCAAGGCTTGGAAAGAAACTAAGACCCTATTATTTCAACGTATAGTGGCAAGAGACTTTGAGGAAAAAAGTTGAGTTTATATAGCTAACCACGAGTCTGGGCTTGATTCTATTAGTAGGAGCAAAATACTATAGAAAGATTTTACCTCTTCAAGTTTTGCAAACGCCGGGTGATTAAAAAATATCATGTTCAATCTCATAAAACATCATTGAGTAACAATAAGTCAATACGCAAAAGGTTCTTATAAGATGACAAAGTAATGAAGTGTTTCCATAATGGCTATCTAAGATTAGAAGTTGCATGATAATGCAGTCCACACGAGATGACTACTTTTTTCGGACCTACTTCTTTTTCACTTTATATTTTACGTTGATCTAATGGCTTTTACTTAGTAATTTAAGCTTTACTTAGCTTTATAACTCAATCTTAACGTTTTAATGATGATCTTTGATCAGTTATGATGGTTTTTGACAGAGTAAAGAATACACTTGTCATTCTCTGATTCTGACATGGCTTTAGATTAATTCATGCTAGCTCAACTTTTTCAATACCCTAGTGGAATGTCCAAGTCATTCCCTTAATATCCCATCAATATTTTGTTTCACTTACCTTATGATATAATCAACAGAATATGTTTTCAATGTTATCGTGTCCAAAGTTGAGTTTTAGTGCTATATTTTGTGGACCAACCACAATATATCATCAAACTTTCGTTTTTGAAATTTATTCTAAAGGTCAGAAGCTTTCGGACAAAACAAAAATATTAAATTATTATTTTATTATCTAGATCAAAATTTTAAATATATTAAAAATTCATTTTTTATCTAACTAAAAATAGTTCATTTGGTCTATACAAAACTAAACGCAAATAATCTTTTAAGAAAAACAATTCTATAGAAGCTAGATCGGGTATAAAATAGGCTTAGATCTCGTTGTTGAGCTTGGCCACTAAGCGCGTTTATAGTGTCGTTGCAACGGTGGAAGGAGGAGGCACCCGAGCGGCTGCAATGACATAATCGCTATCTTCTTTGTTTGAAGATTTTATTTTGAGTCGATGATATTTTTGTCTTTGTTTGAAGATTTTACAGCTTTCTGATACGGTTTTTAAATTTATTTATTTTATGAATTTTATAAAATTGAAACGAAAATAGCAAATTTTATTTCTGTTTGGTGTTTAGGCTCAGCTTAATCTAAACAATGCTTTGAGTTCATAATATATATACTAATACGGTTACATGTATTTTTAATATATTTATGAAGGTCATTCTCAGCCACCTTCATTCCCAGCCACCTTCATTCCGAGCCACCTTCATTCCGATGATACAGTCACCTAAAGATTGGTCTGGTTTCTCCAATCTGCTAGATGAGTTTGGTTTACTCCGTGTCTACTTTCCCTTGTTCTCGCTTTCTTTTATTTCTCGTTTATGTAATGCTAAAGCAGACTGTTTAGCCCGTTCTTCTAGACTTTTACTTTCTGAAGTTACTTTTGTAAACTCTTCTCTTCTTAATTGGGCAACCAATCAAAGAATTATTTATTAATTAATGTGTGGTTGACAAAAAAAAAAAAAACTTTCCACATATAAATTTTTAAATGAATTTCGATTTATTAGATTTTATTTCTTTTAGTTTTATAAAAATAAAAACAGTAGAATTATAAAAATAATCTCGATTTAGTTTCGGTTTAAACATTCAATTTGTTACAATTCACTTTTCTTTCTTTCCTCATCCCTAGCTAAACTTTTATAACACACTTTTTCCAAAGTTGTACTGCATTGTCTTTTTATTATTTGTTTTAACATTTACTTACTCTCGGGACGAATGGCGAATTGACACAAATCCACGAATGTAAATAGTAATGTTGCATTATACTTAATCGATCTAAAAAGGAAAAAAATACTATTATCATAAAGTGAAAGATATAAATTGAACGGCGATGAATGTGCACAACTTGGATCTGACCAACACGATGGAGTCTCAATCCACCAAACTAACTAATTATTATCACATTCAGTAGTAGAAAAAATTGAGCTCAACATTTCTCGCGATATTTACTATAATCAAATTCCATAACGTGTTTAACCATATTCAGTACGTACGTTTCTATTTTCGATACGTCTAATTTTATTTCGGTGTGTGATGGGAAGCTTTCCGAGGGTTACGATAGTACATGTAATATAGTTGGACAGCGATTTTGAGCAGAGTGTTGAAAAAATGATTGATAGATCATAGATAAATAAAAATAACATTGGCGGAATACCTAGACAACGCAGATAGTGGCATCACCAGAAAACATTACATGTGAATATGAAACAAGGAATATAAAAACTGGATTTTATATTTGTTGGTGAAGTAATTTCTAGATATATTACTATGTCAAAATGTGTTCTAGCTATGCATGGATGCCTAATTTGAACAATATTGAATTTCCGGGAGTTGTGGACTTTGTGTAATGTACCATTACTATCTTTCAAACACAAAGATAAATGCAATATTACCAGATCAAAAATGTAACTTAAGAGAAAATATGATTTAGAAACTATGAAAGTAGATAGGGAAATTTGAAAATAAAAGGCGGGGCAAAGAAATTTTGATTTATTTTGGCTGTATTTTTTTTTTAAAATATATATTTTGTATTGTAATACACTTAAATTAGCTGTCTACACGTTTCAAGTTCGATCCACCTACAGCGCGGAACTCCAACACATTTTCTGAACACCCACATGGATATGGGTTCATGTTTACGGTCCATTTGAATATATAGAGAGGATCTATCCATGAGGTGTACCTCCCCAACAATTAGTCTGGGCTCCTCCATAAGTGTAGGATTTACTCTAAATTATATATAAAAAAAAGTTAAATTAGTTGTTTAGTTATAGAAAAGAAGAAAAATTGTTATCTATTATTTAAATACATAAAAGAAGACTTTTGATGTGTGGAGTGGAAGTAGACGTTTCCTCGTTCTTCAACTATCTCCATGGTTCTGCTGACCCACTTATATTATCTTTTCACATACATTTAACTATATACATATACATAGATTCTTTGTAGATTTTAATTTAGTAGCAATAATACTATATACTAGTAATAAATGTTGACCTAACAAGTTATTCATGTAGGGATCATATACATGCGGTGCCAAATATTAAACGTGCGGACATCACATGATAAGACAATACTACCATCTTTAATAATCTTTTTCGTCAACAACCATTTACTAAAATATTATTTTACCTTTAGGCTTTAGCATACAAATTGCAAAACGATTGAAAATGATACAAGTATGATCGTGAATATATATATATATATATATATATATATATATATATATATATATATATATATATATATATATATAGTAGCTACACTATATTTCTCGATTAAACAAGATGATATGATGTGAATGCACTACTGATGGCTTATGGCAATTCCATAATAGTAATTTGTAACATTTATCCGGATTTATGATCATGTAAACCCTAATTTTGTATATTAAGGAGAGAAATTGGGATCTTGATTGAATGCACATTCACGTTTTAAGAATTAGAGTGGTTGAATATATTTAATCAATAAGGATCTATAAATTTGACATTGGTAATTTATTTGCGACATTTTGTGTGTCCCATGTTTCCTATATAAATTAGTTGAAATTAAAAAAATGTGATATTTTTATGTTTTGAAAGCATGATTCTGCTATTTAGTTATCAGTAAAAAAATTCATCAATTTTTCACTTTCTAAAAATTGATTTCATTATATACAATGCAGTAATATTAATATATAACTAACGAAACAAATTATTATATATTCATGTAAAAAAGCGTTCTTAAGCAATTAAAACCAGTTTTTATTATAATTTTGCAGCCTAAAATCTGTTCGGTTAAAATATTTGTGCTATCCAATCATATAACTATCCTGCTAAAAATCTATCATAGCAATCAAGTTCAATCTTTGCACAAAAAAAAAAAAAAAAAAAGCAATCAAGTTCAATCTAAGCAACGAGCACCACCAAAAGTTTAACTATACAAGTTATAAAAAGACTATTTAATTTAATAGTATATATCTTTGCAATATTTCATCAATATAATTTCAGGGGCCAAATTAACATTTTTACACCCAAAGAAAATAGCCTCACAAATATGTATGTGGTCTTTTTACATTAATTTTTTTTTTCCTTTTTTATTTATTTTATTATTGATAACTCAGGTGATTCTAAAAGTTAGAATTCGAACTACGGTGGCCAAAGATTAATTCTTTTTTTTTTCTTTAGGTTGACGATATTGAAACTTAAATCTATATATCACTTGGGAAATATAGCTAAGTTGGATCGTGCCTAAGATGCAACTGAGGAATATGTGGATATGTAAACATGCCGTGCATATCATGTATGCTAGCTAAAATCATCATCGTAAGAGAAACAATATATAATTGGTGATAAGTCAAAAACCATTGAACTTCGAAACATCACAAGAGAAAAATAATCGTGAGTGTCACTGTTTAGTTGTCCAATGAGATATAAAAGAAAAAAGGTATATATTTTCCATCTCTGAAAAGTCCAATCACATTTTTTTTTTTTTTTCGCAATCACATTTTATTTATAAAGGCGACTTCTTGGACTTTCTAGTTAACAGATCATTGAAGCAGAGGACAGTTTTTAGATGATCATCGTAAGCAAAGAGAAAGACACGTCGAAAAGAAGACAATGAGAAACTCACACCCATAATTTGCTGCTCATCATTTCTAATTATTAAAATAAAAACGGTAATTTAATTTTCTTGATGTGTCACATCTTAATTTCATCATATTTTGCTTACCAATTCTTCCTAAGCTCTTGGACATAATTAATGTTAGATCGATTATATTATAATTTGATATTTTCTTGAATTGGAAGTTTTGTGGCTTATTTGTCAGAATAATGGCTGCTTTCTTCCATGGAGAATCTGAAATGAGAGAACCCTTTTCTGATCTTTTTATGATGAATCTGAATTCATTTTCCGATCCGACAACGACCACTGATGCTCGTAACCATCACTTCTACAACTTGTGCTTTGGTTCCCAACAGCATCGACCGCGAGATGAAGTAGATCATATAGAACAAGGAAATTCTTCCATCTCCACGTTTTCAAATGGAGGAGTTTTCAGAGTTTTGGCTCCGATCTATTTGAGAGCTGCTCAAGAATTACTCAATGAGATTGTCAATTTTGGAAACGGTAGCCACGGCGTAAAACTAGAGCGACCGATGAGTATAGAGTCCAAGATTTATAGAGTTGGAGACATCAGTGGTGGCCATAAGCCTGGCGTGGCTGCTTTGCAAATGAAGAAAGCAAAGCTCATCTCCATGGTTGAAACGGTAACTTATTTATACCCACCTATATAATATGTGTGATATATAAATAAATATAAGAAATTTGTATATACAAACCAACCATGGTGATATTATGTTAAGAAACTTTCTTTTAGGTTGAGATCGGGACTAAAATTCAATCCATCACGGATTTTTATGTTGGTTATTGTGGATATTTTACTTGATAAAATAAGTCTCATGTTTCGGAAATTTTTTAAGTGTCAAAAGGCTGGTTTCCTCTGGCATAGAGATATTACGGGCTTAGGTCCGGAACTTTAACTAAAAAAAATGATTTATTAAGTCACTATAAAATTAACCTTGGCGTGGAAAGGAGGCAAAAAAACATATGTTAAGCCGTGACAAAAAAAAAGTTCTTGTATGACTCTTAAAGGTTAAACATATGTATGACTCTTACGGGCTTGCATGTTGAGTATTTTGCTGGCAAATAAAGGTTTCAAATATTGGTAATTGATTTGGGAAATGAATTTGGTAAATTACACAGGTTGAACAGAGATACAAGCAATACTATGACCAAATGCAGACTATAGTCTCATCGTTTGAGAAAGCCGCGGGTTTAGGCTCAGCAAACTCATACACACATATGGCGTTACAAACAATATCAAAGCAGTTTCGTGCTGTAAAAGACATGATATGTTTGCAAATCAAACACATAAACAAGCTCTTGCGACGAAAGGAATGTGACGAGCAGCTAAAGCAGTTCGAGAAGATGGCACATCACCATTCAAATGCTTGGAGACCACAAAGAGGTTTGCCCGAAAAAGCTGTTTCAATTCTACGCTCTTGGCTATTTGAGCATTTTCTACATCCGTAAGTATTTTTTGCTTCTATTTTTAGATTTTTGTTTGGATTATATTCCGATATATCAGAATAATTAAACCTTGAAACAAGGTTATGGAAGGATCATTAGTTAGTTTTGTGCAAACGTGCATGCTAATTAACTAGTTTTGTCTTGTTTTGTTTTGTATAGATATCCGAGGGATTTGGATAAGGTAATGCTTGCTAAACAGACTGGCCTTACTAAGAGTCAGGTAAATGATTTCGATTATCAGAAGTTGGACATAGTTTTGTTTATTAATGTTAGATGTCCCACGGTACATATACAGTTTTCATATATAACATTATCTAACAAACACTAAAGAATAAATAAAAACTAAAGGTTAAAACGAAAAAATATAAAATCTAGCTAGCAAATTTATTCTGATCAACATATTAGTTTTCGATAGATTTTACTTTTGCCCCAAAAAAAAGATAGATATTACTTTATTTTTGAATATTTCTTTTCTAGTCTGAGAAAAAAAGCCAAGAATTGTAAAAAAAAAGGCTAGTGAACAAATTATATTTTGGTAAAATTATTAGATAGATGATATGTGTGTGTATATATAAATTATGTTTATATATTTTATTATAATTATTTTAATGACAACAGCGCTGATTGTATAAGAAAAAAAATGTTCATGTATTTTTGTAAATTACTAATCCCATTATATTTATATCTTTTTATTATGGAGTACACTTTTGAGAAATGATAATATAACCAATAAAGTTTTATTGATGGAATTTGGTGTAAAATTATGTAGGTGTCAAATTGGTTCATAAATGCTCGAGTTCGAGTGTGGAAGCCAATGGTGGAGGAATTGTATTTGGAAGAAATGAATATTGAAGAAAGCATAAAAGGAAGTAACCATGAACAAAGTACCAAAGGTTTATCTTCTAAACAACCTTACAATAATACAACTTCAGATGAATCTTCGAACTCGATTTTACCCACCTTTCATCAAAGAATCAATGAAAATGAAACGCCTATGCAAACTTCATCCTCAAGTTGCAGCGTAGTCCTGAGGTTCACGAAACAACACATGAATCAATCTAACTTCATCAATTTCAATGGAGGGTTCGAAAACTGTCACACAATGGTTGGCAACGGTGTATCCCTTTCTCTTGGCCTGCCTCATTCTTGTGACCAAACCTTTAACAACATTCAGTTTGGGTCAACAAGTCATGGAACTGAGATCTCGGGCATATATCCCTATTCTACTTATCAAATCATGGATTAGAACTAATTAGTGAGAATGATATATTATCTGCTTGTTGTTTGCGTATATTTTGTGTATAGCTTTGGCCCTTGGATGGTTTCGTATGGATGGATGTGTGTAAGATAGATAGAGAGGAGATGATCAAGTAAGGTTTTAGTAAAAATGTAGATAACAATACTAAGCTAAAGAAATATGGTTTTCTATAGTCAGGTTTTAGTTAGTATTGTTACGACAATCAAGATGGAAGTAAACTGAATGCTTGACAGATGAGTGTAAATGGAGATCAGATCAACCATGATATCCATATTACGTACCTTTTAGTTGTGTTTTTATGAATGTATGTATGTGTATATGTGTCTCCAAGAGCCCTAACTTAATCTCCCACCTCTTCTGTCTTTTTTATATATTTTTTCCTGCAAAATTATATTTTTGATTATTATTTTGTTGTTGTTTATGATCCTCTTAGTGACCCAACCATAAGTTACTTAGCTACCAGCAAGTTATGGATTCATTTTTTTGAGGTGATATTTAATTTGTTTGTGAAGGTGATAGTGAGAATAACTAAAATTCTATCTTTATTCCTCGTAAATGAATTGAAATAGAAATGAATACCTAAAGAGCAATCCTTTGTAATAACTATGTTTGTGTATGTGCATACTAGGCTTGTTGATGTTGTTTGATTTTATAAGTTTAATTTAATATTAACAAAAAAAACATTGTTTTATTTTGTTCACTAAAACTCGTTCGGTGTTTTTAAACTCTTGATTTTGCTTTGAGATTTCAGGCTATACTCAAAGCTACATACTTAAGTTTTTTGGGTGTTGTGTTTTTAAAATAATGTAGCATAACAAAAAAAAATTATATGTGTTTTAAAAAATATATAGATTGGTGCATAACAATAATTTGAACTGTTGGAGAAGTTATGTGTGTAAAATTTATTATACAAATGTTAAAATTTGAAAGAGTATGAAATTCATAACATAAATTAAATATTTGTAAATGCAACATAATTGTTTTATAAATTACAATTTGGTAATTCAAAACATGGTTTACCAAAAACGTAATTCACTAACCCATTCATTAGTCAACACGAATAAATTTTTGTTGGGCCGAATTTGATGTTAATAGTTATCCAATTATAACTATTCCTTAACCCGTTTAATATTTTCATATTAATTTATTTATGTGGACAGATTTTTATTTTATAACAATCGTTGTCTTTTTATCTTAAAAAAAGAAAACAAAACACACCGAACAAAAATAAGATCATGGCTAGATCTAAGTGGAATTTGCAAAATTCTCATCTAACTCACCAATTTCGTCTCCCAAACATCATTGATTTCAGCGTCTCGATCGAGATTTCAACCAAAGGACAAGTATGGAGGGTTTTCGTCTGGGTTCCATTGAAGGAAGCACGATCATGATAAACTAGGTTTTTGTATATAAGTAACAACTGAAAACAAAAGATTTTATATTCAGCCTAATAGTAATAAAAACAAAAGAGAATACTACTATATGTACAAGAAATCATATATTTAAATTAAAAATTCATAGCAAAATTTACACTTTAAAATTATAAGAATGATTTCTTACATTTAATTTTTTATATTTATCACATCATTTCTTTGGCAAGATAACAACCATTAGTATCGTATTCATTATATTATTATAAAGATATCTCAGTCTCTTAATCCTTTTAGCAAAAAAAGTATCTAGCTCTCTTTACATTTTTATAAAATTATGTAAATAATAATGAATTTACTATTTTATATGTTTTCAATAATAATGAATCATCAAAATTTGCATCATAACAATAACATATGACTTCACAAAAATCATGACTTAATATCGGTAGAATGTTGTTATTCATTATTGTTTAAAAAATTATTTATGATAGTAAATTTTCGGAATTTTTAGTTATATAAAATTTTTGTAAAAATTAATTTTAATTATTATCAATAAATTGATGTTCTATTGAAAATATAGATATTTTGATTAACTGTTATTAAGTTTAAGTAAATTTTAGTAACTTTACATATTTAAAAATAGTTTTTAAAAGAAATGAAAGAAAAGGTATTTTTCAAAAGTGTAAACAAAAAGAGGGTATTTTTCCAAATTTACTCATAATTGAATATATAAAAGGATAATAATTATTTAATTTATGAATATCGGAAAATCCTTCCTGAATTGCGTAGAATCTTTCCTAAATTTCGTGAAATCTTTTCTGAATTTTGTGTTTTTTTTTTGCCGGGAAAATTTTGACGGAATTTTTTTTTGCCGTAAAATATTTTGGTGGGAAAATTTTAGCCTAAATTTTTTGACGGGAATTTTGGCGACGAATTTTTGTAATTTAAAATTTTCTTAATTATTAATTTTTAAAATAAAAAAATACTTTATTTGGATGCTATTTTGTCCCAAAAAACTTTTGAGTGTTTTTTTAATCCAAAAAACTTGATATGGGGCTATGTGAGGCAATTACTCTAAAAACTTGATATATTAAAAAAGGTATCTTTTATATGCAAATTACGTGGTTGTCTCATCCATATTTCTTAGACATATTTTAATGTTCAATGATTTTAGATCTCTTTACTTTGTGTTATTTTAAAGCTACTTAGTAATTAAACTAAAATAATTTGTAAGACAATTATTTTTCTGATTTACCTTTTTCAGTTTTAGTTCATTTTTATAATCTTTTTTAATCTCTTATTGACCTCTAAAGTCCATTTCACTCCTCTCATAATTACTAAAGAAGTAAACAAAATTTGATTGAAATGTTTTTACTATAATTGTTATGGAAAAAATTCACTAAAATTAAATAGTGAATCAATCGGATACGAAATTAAAAATAGAAAATTTGATATATCTTTATAATATGAATTGCATGTAAGATTATTCAAGAAAAACGATTTTTTAATTTTCCTTTTAGATTAGGAAAAAAAGAATTTTTTTTTTTTAGAAATACACATACAACTTAGTATATAAAACTTTCCTTTTCTATTTATTAGTTTTCATATTTAACTTAAAAACAAAAAGAAGGTAACGAATTATCATGTGTCGCAGTCTAAGTGATAGACTTTACACGTGTCATGATCATGTTAATGATTAACTTTGAAACCTAATTCTACTCTTTGTATTAGGAAAACTATGTTCAGTTTTTTCTTAGAATACACATGCAAATCAGTATATGTAAATATGTGTTTCTTTTTCTTTTTGTTAGTTTTCTTATTTCCCGCCAAAAATTAATTATTTACTAAAGAAACCAAACATAACTGAAGAGAACTAAATGAACCAAACATAATTGAACTAGAGAACTAAAGGAAATACATTCTCTAGATTAAGCCTTACTCTGCATCCTTGTTATCCCCGTTTTTCCATCAACCCATCAATTACCGCCTTCACGTTGCTAATTTCTTCTTCTGTGTCTCCATTTTCAACTCCAGTTCAAAATATTTCTCCTGCAAAGCTTCTTTCTCAACATCATCTTTGGATATTTAAATCTGATCAAGAATCTTCTTCTCTTTATCGAAAAGATTTTAGTAGATATTGTTTAACTTCTCTATCTCAAGTAGGCTCTCCGGAAGGGCTTTCTCACGCTTGGACAGTGATAGTGAAGAGATGGCAACTGAAGGTAGCAGCCATGGCTGATCTTGAGTCCTAGAGAATATTTGCACTCTACACACTTTCTCCAAAAATGTGGCAAATACACACTCGTGTACCCTCTAACTAAACTCTAACTCACTTACTCTCCTCTTCACTTTATATCTTTCTTTCTTCTCCTTATCTCTATTTCTCTCGTCAAAAGAAAAATAAATATTTTTATTTGATTTATAACAACGTTACTAGAATATAACAATTCAAATTTTTAATTCAAATTTTTTAAATAGAATTACTTGTGTAACAAAATTTGATCATTATAACAAACTTTCAGATTTATCGATAGAGTTTCAAATATTTTTGTTTAATTATATAATATTTCAACCTAATAAATAATTGTAATATATTTATCAAATAATTTTTCCTCACCTCTTTCTTCTCAAATTAAACTTGGTAATACATTTTTAGTATACTCAACATTACATTTTTTTTTTCCTTTAATAAATAGTTATACAGAGATTTGAAATATTTATCTTATTTAACGTTTTTTGTTGAAATTTGTTTCTAGAAAAGTAGAATTTAATAAAAAAAATATATTTTGATAATCCAACATATTAATGTAAATCAAACAAAGATAAAATCAATAGAATGAAAACTAACACTATAACTAAAATTGAGTGGAATATAAAAAAATATTTTTAAATTATAGATCTTTTTAAATTATTTCAAAAGCTTTAGATTGTATTTTATATGATTTCCTCATTTCTCATCCTATAAGTAATCACTCTTTTATCCTCTACTATATCTTTAAAAGAAAACATTTTTTTGTTATTTGTTTTTGAATGGGTTGAAAAATGAACTAAGACATCATTTTATGAGTTTGATTCTAAGTTTTTTTTCTCTAGCTACTGATCTGCGTTTTTTTTGATGGAAAGTGCCGCATAGTCTAGAGAAGTCAATAAATAGCGGATAGTTCAAGCTACAAGCATTATGGTTGATGCTCGATTTTTGAGATTTTCTACAAATGCAACACATTTAATCATATACATGAATCTATAATTTAATAGTAAACTGTAACCAAAATCATAAGCATTGTCCCTTAATTATTTATCTCCACTCGATGTCATTCAACACTATATAAACAATGATTGTAACTCTCATAATTTAATTATTTTCTAAATGTATCTTACATCAATTCTCATCTTAAAATCATTCTCTCGTCCTCCTCCACCATATCTCACAAATCCTAAAT